AGACATTGGGAAACCTTTCATTAACTTAACAGAGGTTGCAGTATGCCCTTGGTCAGCTAATCCTACTGGTTCCTACTGGAGATGTAGAAAAAGCGAAGATACATTGCACCTCAGATAGCAAATACCATTTCATTGTACATTTCATGCAGTGTCTGTAGCATTCCCTGCCTCAGAACGCTGAAACAAGAAACTAGAGGATAACAAGGGTGATATTTACATTTTTCCTAGGTACCACAGCAGATAGGGGCAAGGCTCCTGACCGAGCACCAAGCCCCAAAGCCGCACAGAGCCAGAAGGAGCCTGGGGGCAGCTGATACACAGAATCGGAGAATATCCCTCCATGGCATCACAGGATAACATGGCCCAGGGCTGAACCGTGGTCTTCCCGGCCTCTCTCCGACCACAGCCAGGTGTGTGCCTGACTCAGCTGCCCCATGTCGTACGTCCAGGCTGCTCTGGAGCTGCTCTGATGTTGGTTGCTCAGTTACATGCTGGGAAACACCTAGACTTGTCGTTCCTCCTGTTCACACAGGTAAACAGCTGGAGTTCAGCAAGAAGCATCTTCAGTATGTATAAAACACATACCGTTAATTGTTTTGAAGTGATTTCTCTAGAGGTAGTCTGGAGGTAAAGAAGTCTAAGCAGTTGTCTTAAGCACGCACCTCTTTCTCTATCAATTTTCCTCTAGTGTTCTACCTATGATAATTACTGTTTCTAAACTGCTAATCAAGCTTCCAGAGAAAGAGATGCTTAATTATAGTGAGTTTCAAAACACTAACACAATGGGAGTGGGATTTTGTCAAATTTTACCTGAAGATTAGCATTTAGGGCTTATATATTTAACATGTTTTTCTCAATCCTGCATGCTTTTCAAAATCATCTTCCAAAATCCATTTCTGACAAAAAAATGATTTTGCCATCATGTGATGCTGACAGAGTTTCACAAGTATTGTCATGGTTAGGACCTTAATTTTTTTTTTTTTTATGTTTGCTACCTGTTAGTCTTCCTTTAAAATCTCTTTCTGAGGATATGAAGCAGCTTCTCTGCCCCAGAAGGCCCTCACCTCCCCCTGCCACAAACAGGTGATATTGCTTTGACTTTGTTTTCTTTCTTCTCAGCCTCCTAAAAGCATCCTCCCTAACACCAGAAGCAGTGGAAAGAAGAGGATAGGGTAGAAGATAAGTTGAGCGCACCTCCTTCCAGGAAATTTCTGCTTTGTCAGAAAAGATAATGGTGCTGGAATAACAAACTAGCCTCAGACTCCGCTTTCTCTCCTGCGTGCCCTTCTTAATGGAGAAGGGGATCAGCCTCCAGAGCTGTGCCAACTGGATGCAGGAGGCCAGGAAAGACCTGGTAGCACCACCCACACAGTCCCAGGATCCCTTACCCCCAGCTTACTCTGCAGCAATGGATTAAAGCCTGAAAACAATATGTTAGGGGATGAACTTTGCAAGGATTCCCCTGGCCCCTCTCCTTCTCTCCTGAGGAAAAAGAATTTCCATGGGAGGACACAGGTAAATCCTTGAGGTTAACGTAGGCTTGAAAGTTACCAGTTGTTTTGCCTCAGGAATTATTGTTCAGCAGCATTAATTTGAAATATATATTTCCCTCTCTCCTAAGTGGGAAGAACCCAATGGACCTTTAATCATTTCTTCAAAGGACTGTGTTTGGGAAGCAATGATGAGGGCTGGGGAATGTGAGAGAGATTCAAAGGGCTGGTTCTCTGCTGATGTAAAAAAGTAGCAACTGCAGAAAGTCTATCAGCTTGTTAGGTAAATTAGGTTAGAATTCAAACATGCTATGCTGGTTAGCAACTACTGGTCAGTTTTACCCAATATTTTTGAGAAATAGTGAAATGTGACTTGCTAGGAGAGTTATGAGGGAATAATTCCAGGAGAAAGAATCAATAACAGAAATGGAAAAAAGGAAAAGAGACATCAACATAAATATTTCTAAGACAATCTGGCAAGGTGATAGGTGTTGAAGGCTGACGTAATTCATTAAAAATAAAAAGCTGGAGATGCCACATTTCCTGGGAGCTACATACCAGATCCGGATCTTCTGCGTCTGATAAATTATTCCTCTTAACTATTAATGCTATCTATTGGTAAAAACGTATTACTTTTTCAAGGATTTGTTCAGGAATAAACTGTGACGTGTGACTAAAGACACTGTGACAAGATGCAGTTCCTCTGAAATTAAGTTACCTGCCTGGTGTGAGTTTTAATCTCTGAAGCTAAATTTAACTGAAATTTCCTTTTATTCATTTAATTCAGGCTGTTACATTAACTAAGGGACACACACCGCAGGCTAACTAAAAACATAAAGAAAAAGTTGCTTTTCTTTTCTGATGGTTAGGTTCTGGTGTGCACAAAAGTACTGAGCTGTGGGTTGATAAACAAAACAACTGGCTTTCAAGCGATTTGGCTTGGCGATTTGGAGTTTTGTTGTTGTTGTTGGAGAAGAATAACTAAACCCTTAAAAAATAATTTCATTATACGCTTCCCTGTCAGTGTTCCCTTCTAAGCTGCCAACAGCAGGAAGCCCTTTATGAGTAGAAACACCTGTGGATTTTTCTCATTTTTCCGTGCATACTTCAGTGTTTCAAAGTGCATTCCTTGACTTGTAATTCATTACAAAGCCAGAGCTAACTCTATTGTTTTGTGAGACCATAGGGTAAATATTTTGGCCTCTGGGCCCTGCGACTGTGGGAATTCTTCAACGGAGTTAACTGCGGTAGCATTTAAACATCGCTATCAAAAACCACTCTTGAAAAACATTGTAGAAAGTATTATCTCCAGTCTGGCCGCAGAGCAACTTTGATACCGAACAACGTGGGGGGATTGGGGGCTGGGGGGAGAATTACTTAGCTACATGATCAGGCTCTAACTCCCCCCCCCCCCAAAAATAAAAAATAGTTTCTTCATTTCTTCAGCTTACTCCTGTGTTCCTGCAAAGGACTAGGCACACAGGTAGCCACGCGTGAAAAAGCTGGATGTTGTTGTCGCTGCAGCCCTTTAGCGCAGCCGGTGTCTCCTGTTTACCCGAGCGTGCCGTATTCGATCCTTTAATTCTGCCCGTGCGGTTACCAACAAAACAGGCTCTTAATCCTAGCGGGGGGGTGGGGGGAAGGCTTGAATATTATGCTCGAGTACAAGAAGAAGGGAAAAAAACTCCAGCCGAGTCCAACCCC